GAGGGACATGTGGGCTGGGTTATGCGTTATGGCTTTAGTATGAGTGTGTGGCTAGATAGGTGTGTGTAGAGTGCTGGGGCGAGTCGCCACGCCATACCTTCAATGTTGGTGCCCTCGAAGTTCTGAAGGCTGCCGGGGCAAAGGCAGGGCCGATAGTGCCACAGGCAGTCGTCCTCCTGAGTGGGCTGGGCCTGGCCACCCACGTGTGGGTGTGTGTTGTAGAAGTCACAGTAGATGGCTGGGGAAGGGTGCCTGACCGTTAGCACTGAACATCTCTGCTCGAGGCCAGGCCTCCCTGGGAGCTGTGGACTCGGGGTGTGCGGTGACCACCCAGGCACGGGCTCCCGCATGGGCTGGGAACACAGATGAGGGCTGGCGGGCCAGGGCACTCACGGCAGAAGTCAGGGGCCCTCCAGTCCACGCACACGCCTTTGTCCAGGCAGGCCTTGGCATAGGCAGCCACTGCGTCGCACAGACACTCACAGTCTCCTCCCGTGTCACACCCACATGTGTCGCGCACGCAGGCCTCGTAGTAGGGCAGGTGGTACACCTGCAGGTGGGACTGTCACCCTGGGCCACTGCCGCCTTCCACAGCTGAGCTGCGGCTGAGGCTTCTGATCCCCCTGCAGGGCTGGGGGGCTCACCAGAGCCGAGTCCCTTTGCCTGTGTGACCGTGCCTTTGCAGTGCCTCCCTACTTCCTGTGCCCCTGTGCTCGTGAGCTCAGAGCCTGCGTCCAAGCCAGGCTGGCTGGTGCCCCAGGGCCTTTGCACTGCTGCCCTGCCACTGGAGCACCCTTCTCTTGGTCCTCGTGGAGCTCCAGGAATCAGTAAGGACAGATACCCCAGGCCAGGGAGAAGGAATAATCTCCCACCCGAGTGTCTCCTTCCACGGCCATGCACCCCACGCTGGGCTTGTGCCCACGGGTTGGTGGGGTCTGGAAGTGCAATGGACTTCCTGTGATGCAGTAAGAGTGTGGAGGAGGGGCCATCTGCTCCAGCCCAAGCCCCCAGGAGGTCAGCACCCACCTTGCTGTGGCAGGCAGCGAAGGTCTGGCTGTTGATGATGCTGCACTTGCGTTCGGCCCAGGCACGGCGGAAGGCGTTGAGGCTGCAGGGCTCAACTGCTGCACGTGTATCCCCACACAGTGGGCTCTCCTTCCAGGAGTTCACAAACTCCAGCTCACTGGATGCCACGTACCTGCTGCGTGTCTCAAAGTCGTCCTTCATGTTCCCATTGGCATTGCCGCACAAGCCACAGAGGGCATCCTACAGGGTCATGGGGCGGTGGGGGGGAATCAGGGGCTTGGAACCAAAGCCTTGCCTGGAGACCTGGCAGGCTAGGAACCTGGGCGCATGATAGTACCTGGGAGGAGTGGTGTATCTTGATGGAAACACTCATGTGCTTGTTCCAGATGAGCGTGAGGTTGAGCTTCCCAGGAATGTCTGCGTCTAGCACCAGGCTCAGGGCGCTGGGCTGCACCCGGAAGTGCACGCGGGGGTCCTTGCCATGGACTGTGTAGTTGCCATTTGCCATCATGATGGACAGGCCCTGTGGGGTGTGGCTGTCAAGGGCTGCCCGCCCTCACCCTCAACCTGTACCCTGTGCAGATCCAGCACAGACACAAGCAGTGCGCTGGCAGAAGGCTGCAGTGGGGGTGCCACAGGCAGGGCTTCTTGGACAACACTCTCTTGCCCAAGATCTGGCACAGTTAACAGGACTGCAAAATGCCTAGCTGGTGAATAGCCTCTGCCAGGGAGGGCCGTGGGCACCCCACTCTCACCCCTGTCCAGGGCAGGCAGGGGGTTGCACAGGAAGGTGGACCCAGGGGCCTAGGGGTGCTGGCTGGGGAGTGCCCCCCAGGCCCCAGCTGCTCACACCCAGGACAGTCTCGATGGCACGGGAGCAGGTGACTCCCGACTTCCCGCAGATCACGTTTTCTGTCAGAATCTTGAAGGTGGGCTGTGAGCTGTTGGTGCCACAGTCATCCTGCAGGGAGGCAGTGCTGAGCAGGAGCCCCAGCCCCTGTCCCCCATAGCCCCTCACCCACCCACCAGGCAGTACCGTGGCCAGGGTGTACTCGCAGTTGCCATCAAACACGAAGCGCTGCCCGTCAAAGGTCACCACATGGCCCTCTCCATAGAGCACGCAGGTGGATGGGCAGTGGGCGCCCTGCCGGCAGGCCCAGCGCCCCTGCGAGCAGGTGCTGGAAAGAGCGGGTAGTAGGTGGCCCTCCTCCGGTCCACTGCCGTGTCCTGGGACTCCCGAGGACCAGCGCACCTTCAGTATTCCACACGCACACACCCCACCTTCTGATCTCTCCATCTCTGGTTATCCCGCCTCCCCCTGCCCCACCTCCAGACACCTCCAACTCCACACACCCCGACTCTAGATTTGTACCTTCACAACCCCACCTTTGGGTGCCCCTGGCCTGCCGATGAGGTGCAGCTTACCAGGTCTTACAGTCAGTGTGCAGTTCAGTACCCCCCGGGTAGGAGACCCCCGCGAAGTCGCATGGACACTGCTCCGGAGGCACACACTCCCCGCTGGGGTTCTCATAGAGCCCGTTTGCGCAGACGCAGCCGGGCTCGCACTTGGTGGGCACCTGGAGGGAACGTGGGGTCAGTGGCCTCTGCCACCACAGCCCGGCCTTGCTCCGAGACCCCCACTGTACCCCAGGCTCCTGCCTACACCCACCCTGCCTGCTCAGGTCTCTCTGCCCATCAGGCTGGGCCAGGAGCAGTTCCTCCTGATCTCCTCATACACCCACCCCCGCCCGGCCCGGCCCGGCCACAAGGTGGCTGCTGGCGGGGCCGCCCTGCCCCTTACACAGGCGGTGCCGGTGGCCAGCATCTGACAGGTGGGCGCGCACGCGGCCCCGAACTTGTCCTCCGCTGACTGGTCGCAGGACTGGAACCTCTTGGGGGCTGGGCAGGAAGCTGAGGGGCGGGGCAGGAGGGAGCATCAGGTAGGGCGGGAGACAGTGGGGGACCTCCGGGTCATGGGTAGGCTCGGGGACTGTACGTACCCAGGAACATCTGTGGCTGCCCAGAGCAGCTGAGCCGCCCGTTGACGCAGTAGCTGTGAGAGAAGCTGTGAGTGCGGCTGGGAGTCCTGACCCCTACCTGCCATGGCTCCGCCCACAGCGACCCGCCCCATCGGTACCTACTCCCGTCCTGGCCCCGCCCACAGCGCTGGCCCCGCCCACAGCGCTGGCCCCGCCCACAGCCCTGGCCCCGCCCACAGCGCTGGCCCCGCCCCAGGAGGCCCCACCCCCTCCGAGCCTAAGCCCTCACCAGATGCCTCCGTTAATCACGGTGGACTGGTCCGCGGGAAGGAACTTGGAGCTTTCCAGCAAGCAGGGGCACTGTGCCTTGCGCACGCACTCGCCCTTGTGATCCAGGTAGGTGCCCTCGGGGCAGTTGCAGCCGTCCACGGGAATGGCGCTGACGTGGCACTCAGCCTCGGGGTCAGAGAGTGATAGGCATGTGCGGCGGCAGGCCCTGCTGTCGTAGCTGAATGTGCGGTTGCCGGTGCAGGGGACAGCTGCAGGGGACTGGGGTCAGGCTCTCCCGATGGAGCCTGGGCTGGGTCCCCCACCATAGACCGAGAGCCCTATGGCCCGGGAACCCGGCCGGCCAGCACTCACTGCAATTGTCCACACTGCTCCTCCAGCCTGCGAGCGGGACGCCCTGGGAGGCGCAGGCCTGCGCGTAGGCGCCCAGGGCGGCGCAGATGTGGGGGAAGGTCTCCTCATAGTTGCAGGCCTGGTACACGCACCTCTGCGGGTGAGGGGGCCCCCAGGCATGGCTTGGACAACACCCCTGAGGACACAGCCTCCTGTCCTCGAGTGGGGTCCCTGCTGTCTGGGTCGTGCCCCCCAGCCCCTCAAGGCCCCCAGTCTCACCTTGTAGAAGGGTGTGGGGTTCACAGTGGCGTGGCACTTCTCAAATGGGCCGCTCGTCCTCACCAGCTCCGAGCAGTGTGTCTCCGCACACACCTCTAGGGGACAAGTGGCATGGGTCTCCTCTCATCTTCTGACAGGACTGCCCTGGGCCCAGGGTGGCGGCACTGGGGCACTCACTGTTGAGCTGGCTCATGGAGCAGGGGTCAGTCTCACGCTCAAGGGCGGCTGGGCAGTTCCCTGCCCTCCAGGAGTCCACGAAGAGTGTGGCGGTGCCCTCATCAATGCCCATGCTAGTCATGAAGTCATCAGTGGTGTCCCCGTTGAAGTTGCCACAGAGCCCTGAGCCAGCCAGACGTGAGGGTGACTGAGATCTGACCTGGCCTCCTGTGTCCCCTGCCCAAAGCTCTTCTCTCCAGCTGTGCCTGGCCAGGGGCCATTGCTGGCCTTGCATGGCCATTCCTGGGGCCCTGGAGATGCGAGCGCCCCAGATGTGGAGACTGACCTGACCCTTGCTTGTCCGCTCCCCCATCTGTACCCTACTGCTGACCGCGGCAGGGGTGAGGTGATGTGGGACAAAACTCACCTTTGGTTTGGCCTTGGAACTGCGGCCCAACAGTGATGTACACCTGGAACACGGGGTGCAGCTGGACCACAAGCTGCAGCCCGAAGGCAGTGGCCATCTGGAGGTGGGTAGATGTCTGCCTGAAGATGGTGATGTTGCCTGTAAGGACACAGTGCTCAGCGGCTGCCCAGCCTGGTCTCACCCAGGGCTGCTGCTGCTGCGGGTGTGAGCACCTACGTGTCTTATACGGCAGCCACTTGGTGTCTCCATGGTTGGTGATCACCTCGTCCTCTGAGATCATGATTTTATCCTGAAGAGAGGGTGGCTCAAGTCAGGGGAAGAGCAGGGCAGGCACCAGTGAGCAGGAACGCAGCAGGGCTGTGGGGCAGGTGGGAGGCCTTACCTTCCGAGACAGGTAGATGACAGCAGTCAGGGAGGTCTCCGAGTGTGAGTAGCCTGACTTCTCATACACCGCCATGAGAGTGCCCTCGTCAGGGAGCTGTGGGCTCTGTGAAGGGGGCCCAGGCATGGAGGGGTGCCCACACAAACCCAAGCATGTCCTACTTGCTTGATCTCAGATGTGCCGGCTGTCCACCCAGCCCCAAGCCTATCATACCTGGAGGAGGATGTAGGTGCAGGTGCCGTGGAAGCGGTAGGGCCTGGTGTCGAACGTGGTGACAAAGGAGCCACCTTCCAAGGAACAGGTCCCAGGACATGGCTTCTCTGTACATGTCCAACGGCCTGTGGTGCACTGGCTGTGGGTGGGCACAGAGTGATGCGGGGCAGATGGGGCCCCAGAGCCTGTGCTCTCCCCTGCCAGTGCCCAGTGCTCACCAGGTCTGGCAGGCTGCTTCTCGGACCTCGCCAGGGCTGTAGACTGCCCCATTGAGCATGCAGGGGCACTGGCTGAGCGGCACGCACGTGTGATTTAGGGAAAGGTCGTCAAGCACCATTCCTGCAGGAGAGGTTGTCCTGGTCCTGGCCAGACCCACCTCCCCTGCTGGGCCTTTCCCACGTCCCAGCTGTCCCAGGTGCCCACAGAGCTCCTCCTCTCAGCCCTGGCCGGACCCAGCCCTGTTGGCATCTTCCACCGCCGTGACGCCTGGCTGTGTGCCGCATCTCACCCAGGTGGTACAGTCCCGCAGGTGTGCATACACAAGCTTCCTTTAAGCCCAGCTCTGAGCCACCTTGCCCAGCTGTGCTCAGACCCCTGTGGACACTGTCTCCCATGAGCTTGTGAGAATACCCTGGGGTCCCAGGCAGTGAAAACTGTGGTTTTGCCACAGCTGAGGGCCTTGCAGTGGGGACTCAGCAGGGTGCTGAGCTGGGCAGTCAGGGTGAGAGCTGGCGACTCCAGGCCCTGGGCGTGGCTCTGGGCTCCCAAGGGGAGAGACTTTGCATCAGGGTTAAGGTTGTATTAAGGTTAGGGTCAGCATCAGTGTCAGTGTCAGGGTAGCTAGAGATGGGGTAGAGTCTGGGTTAAGTTTTAGGGTCAGGTTTAATGGCAAAGTTGGGTTTAGGGGTTAGAGTCAGGGTCACAGTTAGGGTCAGAGTCAGGGGCAAGGTTAGGACTAGGGGTCAGGGTCAGGGAGGGTGCTGGCATCACCTTACCCTCTGGGCAGAAACAGCCGAAGGTGCAGGAGCTGGGGCAGCTGTGCCAGGGGTTGGAGCAGGTCCGGGTGCAGGCTGCACCACACTCTTGGTACTCCTGGCTGGCGGGGCACGGGCCCAGTGCTGCGCAGAGTTCAGTGTGTTGGGGTCCTGCTCTCTTTGCACCCTCACCCTGCCCTGCTGCCCTGGCACTCACAGCAGAGACTAGGGCTCCGCCAGCGGCTCACAGGCTGGCCCACCAGGCTGCAGCGGCGTGAGAACTCCGACAGTGTGGCGCAGCTGCAGTTGGGCTGCCTAGGCTGGCGGCACGTTGCCAGGTCAGCCTGACAGCTATGCACCAGGGGCTCCTTGGGCACGTCGCAGGTGGGGGACACCAGGGCCAGCAGCTGGGCGCAGGTCTGGGCCTGGGGGCGGGGGAGCTTAGTCACGCCCAGGCCATAGACACGTGGAGATCGGGCACCTGGTCTGCCTCAGGGCCAGGGGGCCGTGACCCCGTCGCCTCACGTACATCCTTGGCACGCAGAGTGGGGCTGCTGGGAATGACCTCATAGGCACAGATCTCATTGGGGTCATCAAGCTTCTGCAGTGCAGCGAACTTGTGGGGTTCCAGGAGTTTGCCTGGGGATGGGGAATGGAGTCAGCACCATGAGGCTGGATCTCCTGAGGCCTGGCTTCCTCCTATCCCTGCCCACCTACCATCTTCGCTCATGAAGTCGTTGTCCACATTCCCATCGAAGTCCCCACACAGCCCGCACATCTGGCCCATGTACTTCCTCTCCACCAGGACCTGTGGTGGGTGATGGGCAATGCTGGGGTCTGCCCCCAGCTCCCAGCTAGGCCCTGACCACCCTGCACCTCCTCCAGGCTCTAAGTCTCACTGAGTCCTCCTTATTTTCAAATGGAGGACAGCCACCACCATGCCCAGGTTGCTGCCAGTGAGGGTGCAGCAGAGGGACCCTGCCTGCCTGCCCCACATGCTCACCATGAGGTGGGGGTCTGGGCCCCACAGCACCACCAGCTCCAGTTCTAGCTGCTTGGCTACCAGCTGCACGCTCTGGCCATAGGGTGTGATCCGAAGCCCGTTGCTGGTGTAGGGCAGGCTGACGACCCTGTGGGTGAGAGTGGTCAGCAGCTGGCCCTGGTCCTCTGGCTTAGGGCCTGGCCTGGCTCTTTGACCTACCCCACGTCCTTGACAGAGATGGTGCCGTTGTCCACAGTGATGGCGGAGGCCCCCAGCTCTACAATGATCCGGGAGATGCTTCCGTCCAGCCCTCGCCTCAGCTGCACACTGAAGGCGGGTGGTGTTTCCTTGCAGATGGCCGCAAAGATGTAGTTGCAGGTCCCCGAGAAGTCATAGGCTTGGTGGTCAAAGGTGGAGAAGTGGCTGGTGCCCCATGTGGAGCACCAGCCCTTGTCTGGGGCTGTGGAGACAGTGGCAGGGTCTTGAGGCCCTGTGTCCCGCCCAGCAGGCCGGGTGAGCTGGGCACTTGGGGCGCATGCTAGACCTCTCTGCCCACCCACCCTGCCCATCTTTTTCTGCATCTTACAGGACTGTGGGCTGTCCTGGGCGCTGGGGCCTGTGTCATTTCCAGCCAGGGAATCTGTAAGACAGGATGTGGCCTCTCAGCCCCAGCTCACCTGCTGCTCAGCCAGTGACTGCAGCTGGGGTAGCTCTGGGTCTTTTGCCAGTGGATCTTCTTTTGAGGACCCCACCCCAGGCCATGCTCTCGCTGAGAATTCACGAGTGTGTATAGGAGTGTGTGTCACCTCGCGTGAAGTCCTTGGCCCCCGTAGCCCAGGAGTGCAAAGGTGGCATGCCCAGGCCTGCAGGGACGCAGTCCATACTGGGTCCCATCCTTATCCCCTCAGTAGGGGAGGTGGCTGGTTCTCCACTGTGGTGCGGCTCTGCCCTCCCTCAGTCTCTCTCTTCACTCTCTTCAACCACTGGTTCAGTATGGGCATAGGCTCCTGTCTGCCATCACTGGAGGCCTGGTGTGCACCCTTCCTGGGAGGGCACACGTGCATGTGTGCACACAATGGACACACACAGGGATGTGTTCATGCACAGGCACACACACATGCATACACATCTGTGTGCACAATGGATACACACATACATACATGTGTGCACATACTCGTGCACATGCACACAGATGCATTTGCACATATGCACACACACAAGCACGCATAATACACATGTCCACATATAGGTGTGCACACATGCAAGTGCACAAAATATACAATACACACATACATGCATCCACATGCTCACATGACACACATGCCTAGGCGTGGACATCCATGTGTGCACATAGACTAGCACACACATGCACAGGCATATGTGCACACATCTATACTATGCACATTCATACACACATGTCCACATGAGTACACACATGCACACATGCCAACACACACACTGTTATACACAAAATATGCACACACAACAGGCACACACATACACAAGGCACAGGCACACACACATTTGGATGCACACACATGTTCATGCATGCAGCAACACACAGGCACACGTGTTCACACATGCACAGCCTCCCCATCCCCATTTATAGCTGAAGCCGGTGGCAGTGAAGAGTGGTAGGAGGGTAGGTGAGAATCAGGCATGCAGTGCCTGAGGGCCTGTGATGTGTGCGGATCCCGGGCTCGTGGCCAGGTTTTGTGCAGGACACACTACCCTATGGGTGGCTAGCCTTGGAAGGCAGTCTGAGAGCCTGTTCTACCTCTCTCCTCTCTGTTCCACTGCTCCTCTGTCCTGTCCTGCACCTCCCACTCCTCTGGCTGCCCCCAGAGTGGGCCTGTCTCCAGTGGCACCCATGTCCAGCTCTGAGCCACACTGTGAGGCTGAGCACAGCCAAGCCTTCCTGTTTCCCCTGAGCTGTGCTTTAGATGTCTTCCTACTTCTTCCTCCTTGGCACCTTCAGCCCGTAGAGGGCCCTGAAGCTGAGGTGACATTGCCATGGAGATGCCCAGGTGGCAAGGGTCACTGTGACCGCAGGGCAGGGCAGGGTGGCTGAAAAGTAGCCCTGCCTGGCTCTGCAGTGCCTACTCCCTTCTCAGCCCCTCCACATGATCCGTCCCTTCCTGGTGTGCAGCCCAGGCTGGGCAGGTGTCTGTGTCCAGTGAGGTGCACAGTGAGGCCCTGAGGGTGTGATTATACGTCCCATCTCTGTCCAAGCCCACTTGCTCCCCAGCTCTGGCAAGCTTTGCATATTATGGTGCTCCCCCCTGCTGTCAGGGTGCACACATTTCTGGGATACACTGTGTGCCTAGGGTGGGGTGGGGGTGCTTGGCCAAGGCACTGTGGGCCCTGGCCAGGCAGGAAGGAGCCCTTGGTGATGGTGTGAAATAGCCAGAGGGCCTGGCACTGGTGGGCTCACATCAGATGTAGGCCCTTTCTGTGCATTGTGTGTGGCTGGTACCCAGGGGTCCCGTGTCCATCCTAGGCAGGGGATACTCACTGTGGGCCTGGGCCTGGTGTCTCTGCCCCTGTCCTTCCTGGGATGATGTCAGGGAGGTGGCTGCCCTGCCCCCAGACTGGCCGCTCTGGGAACACAAGCCTCCCATGTCCCTGGATGGACCCTCTGGGCTCAGTTTCCCCACCTTCCCTTGGGAGGTGCTGCTGGGTCAACTCCCAGGCTCCTCTTGGCTCCAGGCCCCCCAGGTGCTCCATCTACCCATGGGTGCCTCCCTTCCATCCAGTTTCCTGAGTCTCCACCTCCTGCCAGGCCACCTGTGCTGTTGTCTGTCCACTGACCCTCCCGGGCACCTCGCCCACCACCCCCGGCCTTGCTCAGCCCTGGATTGGCATGGGGCAGCCAGTGCACGTCATGTTCTTCTACACGCTTGGCAGCCTGCCTGCTGGTACTTCCCACCAACCTAGCCCCATGACCCCATCATCTGCCTCCCTTGGGCCACGCTAAGTTGTCCCTCAAAAACATGTGCTGAAATGTGGGGCCTCCAGTTCCCCCAGCCTCTGATGGGCCTCATTCCATCCTGATTCTGAACCTGCCACGTGGCCACACGCAGCAGTGCATGGTGGGGAGGCCTGGGAGCAGGTCACATGCGTGGGAATCAGGGCTGCCTGTGCTCAGCCTGCAGGCTTTATCGGCTGTGCTTTCGCCAGCAGCCTCTCTGATGCCTTGTGGCTGAGCCAGGGAACGGGCTGTACTTGGACAGGGGGTGGGGCTGCAGGGCTCACAGTGCGCCCTGGCTCCTCTGGAGAGCGGGCTGCAAGGAGAGGCAAGCATCGAGCCTGCCGTGGGCCTTGTGCCCACCCCAGTGCCATCCTCCTGGCACACAGTGTGGGTCTCCGGCCCTGCACCACCACTGGTACCCAAGCAGCTTTCAGGCTGTCGCCCACCGGTGCGGCCATGGGGCCTCACGCGCCCAGCACTGGCCCCTGGGTGTGGACCCCACTCACCAGCTATGCGCAGGGCTGCCCCGCAGGGCAGCAGCAGCAGCAGCAGCAGCCTGGGCCCAAGCATGGTGCTGGCTCTGGCAGGAGAGAGGTCGCTGCTGCCACCTGTGCGACTCGGGCAGCCAGCGCTGCCCGCCTTATATAGGGGTGGCGGCCCTGCCCTGGCCATTCCCACCTGCACCCCACGCATGGGCTAGTGGGGCCAAACAGGATCTGGGTGCTGCCTTATCAGCACTCAGCCTTCTTTGGAAAAATCTGCAGCGGCCAAAAGTGGCCCAGTTATCGCCGCTCCCAGTGGGGCGCTGACACACCCCAGGCCCCCAACAACTTGTGGGGCCAGTCTGGGGGCAGAGACTGCCAAGGCCCTCCCTACTACCTGCACAGGGACACTGTCAGCCACACGTCTGGGTGGTCAGCATGGGCCATCAGGAGGGCTCCCCACATGGGCATCCCCAGCCCATCCTGGAACTCTGAAGTACATGTCCCGTGGGGCCTCCTTTGTCCTGGTCTTTTGTCGAGGCAAGGACCCCGGAGTGAACTCAGCATGGAGGGTGTGGGCCTGACTTGGATGGGCCCCTTTCTAGGGCCTGAGGGGTCCCTGGGATGTCTATTTATCCCTCCCTGGAGGCTCTCTTCCCCTGGCCTCCTGGGAGGGGGCAGAAGCTGCCCCCCAGTGGGCAGGGCCCCCACACCATTGGCAGGCACTGTTCCCTGGGCGCAGGAGTGGGGCTCAATCCTCAGAGCTGCCCATTTCAGGAACCCATTTGTGGGGGCATTGGGGACATGGTGCCTGGGGTATACTTGGTCTCAAACCCACTGGGAGAACCAGAGGCTCCTGGGTAACATCTGGGGCAGGGCACATGCCAGCACCTGGAGGGGCTGGAGCTGTGGCTGGGGCCAAGTTTGGGGTGATGCGGACGCCAAGACCCTGCCACCTCTTGCTGGCTGGAGACAGCTCTGACAAGCTGCAGGGATTGTCCAGTCCCATGGGGAGCCCGGCAGCTTGGGCACAGGACTCTCCTCCCTGTGGGGGTGGCTCTGGCATACCTCATGGAGAGCCAGTGTTGAGAGTGCCCCCACGCAGCCTCGGCACAGACCTGCCTGTCTCAGTTCTCCAAGTGGGCTGCTGCCCATTGTACAGACAGCAGAGTTCTGAGTTCACAGTCCCTACCCACCCCCTTTTGCACACCAGAGGCTGCCCTTCCCCAGATGGAATCCCACAACCGCGTTAGCTTAGATCAACTTCGGTTTTAATAGGATGCTGCTTGGGGCTAAAGTGTAGCTCAGTGGTAGACTGCATGAACAGCATGTATGAGGTACTGAGTTTGAGTCCCAATATCAAAAGGAAAAAAACAAAAACAATCCCCATGGCTTTTGTAGATAATTGCTGTCCATATATGGGAGATGGGGAAGGTGACTGTGCACTCCATGGCTCCTGGACATCTTGTCCTTGGCCATTTCTTAACACACTCAGGATCAGCACCTCAGGGGGAAGCTGAGGAACAGGAGGTGGCAAGAGAATGGAGTGGTCATAGCTGTGCCTGCCTCATCGGTCTGGGCATGGGGCAGGCGAGGAGTAGGATCTGGGTGGGTCACTACCTAGGGCGGCCAGTGCAGGAGGGCACGAGTCACTGATGGTGTGGCTGGGAGCCCCGCATCCTGCTTCTGCATGGGTGCACCTGTGCAAGTGAGTGCCATGAACCAGCAAGGGCATGCATGCCTGTGCACACACGTGTGTGTGCAGACGTGTGAGCAGATGTCTGTGTGCATGTGTGCCCTGTGTATACGTGGATACCTCCGTGCCCGCAAATGTGCAAGTGCCTGGGCGTGTGTGAGTGTGTGTGAGGGTGCAGGCAGATGGCCATTCATCACGTGCATGTATGCATGTGTGCCTGTGCATATGTGCATGCCTAAGTGTCAGCGATGTGCTTAGCATGTATGTGTGTGTAGGCCTATGCAAGGGAGTGCATGCATGTGTAGCTATGTGTGCACGTATGCAGTGAGTGCTTGTGTATGTGCCCTGGCCTGTATCAGCATAAGTGTGCATGCTCATGCACATGTATGTGCATATAAGCATGCACAGAGATGGTGGTGCATGCTCACATACATGCACACATGTGCCTTACTCAAGTACCCATTTCAGTCACCAGTGTGTCTTGTATGTGTACCTGTGTGTGCAAGTATGCACATGTGTGGCAATGTGTACATTGTGTACACATGCATGGCTATGTATGTGCTTGCTTATGTGTCAATGAACACTTGTGCACATGTATGTTAAGTGTGTGCAAACATGTAGCATATAGCTCTGTGTAAGTGCTTGTTTGTGTTAATAAGTGCATATGTGCCTGTGTACAACTGTAAGTGTGCAAGTAGGTGTGCAGGTGGCCATGCATTGTGTGCACTTATACATACATGCACTTGTGTATGCACACATGCACTGTGTGAGTGTACATATGCCTGTGCACATGTGTGTTGAGTTTCTGCATTTGCAAGGGTGTAGCCTATGGTTGTGCGTGCATGTGTGCATATGTGCAGCTGTGTACATGTGTATGCCTATGCAACTATGTGTGTATGGGTACATGCTCATGTGTGTTAATAAGTGTACGTGTGTCCATGGATGTGCATGTCATCCACATGTGTGAGTGTGCATGTGTGTATGAGTGCATCAGCAAGCATGCCCATGTGTGTGCGTGCATGTGTGCTCACATGTGTGCAGGTGACCCCTGCATTCCAGGGTCTCCTTCCCCCGTGTGCCCGGGGCTGCAGGCACCCCAGAGAGTGCATAGCCCTGCTGAGCTGGCAACCTGGGTCCAGGCTGAATCTTGGTAGGCCCAGCAGCTTTAGGTGCCAACCCCTCTCCATTTGCTGTTTGTGGGCATTGACGCTGAATGGCGCATTTGTCCCCTGGCCCAGCTGCGCGTCTGCATTGGCACGTGGCTGCGAGGAGGTGAGATAAGAGTGTGTGTAGCTGTTGTTCCTGGTGCACTCAGCGATAAGACCCAGGTTCCGCTGGCTTTGGGAAGCGGAACCAGTGGCCAGACAAGGGGATGATTGTCCACTCCTGTCCAGCTGGGACCTCTGCTCTCCACACCTCTGCACCTAGTGACCTGAACAGCGGTCACTAGGGCCCAGGCCTGGCCAGCAAACAGAGATTTGGATGGACTCCAGGTTCCTAGGTCCACAGTGTGTTGGGATAAGAAAGAGTTAATATAGAGACGTGCTAAATAGCCTGCAGGGCGTGTGGGACGAGGAAAAAGAACACAGGGCAGCAGTAGCTGCAGGAGTGACAAGAGCACTCGGAGCTCAAGCTCAAGAGCACTCGGAGCTCAAGGACGCCCTGTCTTTGTGTCCTTGCTCCCAGATGCTAGCAGGCTCTCACGTATAGTACAGCCTAAACATTAGTCCTGGACACATAGGATGGAATCTTGTTATGTTCACCTAAAGTAACCTGAAGGCTGAGATTCAAGATACATAAAAATAGACCAAAGGTGGGCGGCAGCCTTTTTGCTTGAGCCCTTGCTTTGCTTGCATTGAATGTCTGTGTGTCTTTGTTTGCGGCCAGCGCCCGTGAGTCTTTCCCAACAACAGTGAGTGCTGCCCATTCAGAGGTGGCTTCGGGATGGCCACAATAAGGACAGTGGCCTCTGCCCCTGGGAGGTGCTTCTGGAAAGGTCAGGAGCAGACTTATCTGACTCCCCGCACAGCCAAGCCTGGGTGTGCTGTGTGTGTCTTACTTGTGCAGGGGCAGAGTGGACCCACTGGCCGGCTGCTTGCCCTGTCCACAAAGCCGAGCATGACTGCCCTTGGGTGAAAACCTATCCCCAGGGAGCAGCTGCTGCCCACCCAGGCCAAGGACAGAATGCGCAGGACATGTTTCAGTCCTAGGAGCAGGACTCGGCATAGGCTCAGGGCCACTTGCGTGTGCCTCTGGAGGGGTGACCGCTGACGCTGCCCTTGTGGGTCAGGCAGCAGCAGGCTGGCCCTGGCAGCTCAGCTTTGGAGAGGAAGGCAAACAGGTGACACTGGGTGCAGAGTGGCTGAGGCAGCAGCCAGCCTGGGCCCTGCCACTCCATGAGATCTGTGCTCTGTCTGTCCCTGTAGGGGGCTCCCCCAGCATCCCTGTGTCCCTTGTACAGGCCAGGCATTCTGTCCCTGGACAGTTTGCCTCAGTGCATGGGGTGAATCTGCACCCTTGTCCTCCTTCAGGGACCTGCTGCCATGCTCCCTCAAGCTCCTGTTCTGGACCTCATGTCCTCATCGGTCCCAGGCCCCATCACCTCCAGCTGCTGGTCCACACTCTGGCCACCCCTGCCTCTAGTCCTTGCAGACACCCTGGCCGGGCAGGAGGTGACCAAAGAGCTGGTAGCTGAGTGCTGTGGCTGAGCCTGGGGACTGGAGGACAGCATGAGCCCTTGTGGACCCTGTGTGTACCATCACCCTCAGCCCCTTGGTGCCTGGCTAGGCCAAGGTGACTGACCCTTGCCAATCAGTGGCAAGTAGCTGGGTAGGGAGGCTGCTGCCAAAGCCTGGGACATGGGTCTTTTGTGGGTTGGGCTCACTGCATCCCCCTGGGCTGGGCCTCCTCTCTTCTGTCCTCAGCCCTGTGCTATGGCCACTGGAGGACCAGGGACTATAGGGCAGGTGACTCTGCCTGGGGGATTCCCGGCCTGCAGGGGCAGGGCAGGTTGGGCTGGCCAGGGTCGAGGTGGGCGGGGGCAGGACATCCCCTGGCTCTAGCTGTAGTGCCCCGAGCTTGAGGGGGCCAGGGAGAGGGTCAGTGCTAGCCCACAGCTGTGTTGAGTCTTGGGAGGAGCTATGGGCCGCCTCCCTCCCCCACCTTACGGGAGGACTGATGCCTGGCCCACAGCCCCTGGGGAGGAGTTGTGAGGGCCAGGCCCCACAGGGGAGGTCATAGCGCTACTTTCAGGCCCTCAGCCAGGGCCAGCAGGGAGTGAGCAGCTGGGCTCCTGCACTGACCTGTAAGGTGCTGAGTGAAAGGCAGGCAGATAAGGCTGGTGGGCGGGCCCTGTGGGATTGCGGCCGTAGGGCTTTCCTGCCTTGCCTGGG